AAAAGACATATAAATACGCATTTATTTTCCGAAGGATAAGGAATTGCAATTATTATAGCTCATTGAACATCTTCATTTATAAAATTTCAATGAAATTTATCTGAAGGCGGTAGACAATTTTCGATACGTTCGTTATCTTACGAAAAACATTAATTGAAACGTATTAGATAATAGATATTTGTGTAATGGTAAGATTTTTTGAAGCGGAGTATTGCAGTCGTAATATTGCATACTTGACAACACTACTATTCAACTTCCCATAGGATAAGTTATAGTAATTGTTCAAAAATCGTAAATAATTTTTTTTGCATATCTTCACGTTTCAGAGGTTTCTGAACATTTTGGCATACCTGAAAAAAATTGATGCATGTTTGAGTGTGTTTTGCGTGGATACAATTTTTTGTCCACGATTTCGGGCGCACAGATCAACCGATTAGAAATATTCAAAAAACATTCGATTCCTCTGCACACGTGCTGATTATTTTTGACAAAGACTAGTTCAGCTATTTCGGAGATTCGGAGCAAAGATAGTAGAAAATATAAATGAAGTTTTTTAAGAGAAACAGACCATCCAATTTGGATGATTCGAAAAACATTTGATTTGTAATAATGGGTTTAGTTTTTGGGAAAGATAGGTCAAGGCGTTACGGCACTAAAAGTGCAAAAAATAGGTTTTGAGAGAACGAAGTATCCGATTTGAATTTTTCTTGAAAACATTTTGCTTGTATTGACAGTGTGAAAAAAAGATCAGTTTTCGTGGATGGCAAAAGCAAAAGATTTCAAAATTTAAAATTATATATCTTTAATAGAGAAAATGATTTGGATTTTAATCTAATTCTAGCTGGACTTCTAAAGCTCATTTATAAACAAATATAAAAATAAATTTGAATTTGCAATTCAGTTTATATAACTCTTAGAAATATGTGGTAAGATTTTTCATTAAAACCCCGCTTGATTAAGTTTTGTTTTTCATGTAAACATATATAAAGGTTGTCGTCCAATTTATAAGCTGCATAAAGCTTTTGTCTACAAAATACAAATAATTTTACAGTATTTATAATAATCTAGTCGAAAACATTTGATATTCCTCGAATAATTTCATCACAAATCGGCAAGTTCCAGCAAATTGCCTAAAGGCATGATGCCATGCACAACTAGTTTAGTTAATATTTATATACTAGTTGTTGAAAAATATATTACATTTGAATAACAGAAAGCGCAATCTAAAACACTTTTTTTTTAAACTTTAAATAAATAATGTTTATTAACTTCCCGTAGGGTAAGTTATAGTAATCGCAAAAAAAAATCGAAAATGAAAATTTTTATATATCTTTACGTTTCAGAGGTTTCTGAATATTTTGGCATGCCTTAGAAAAAATGGATGTATGTGTGTGTACGTATGTGTGTGTATGTGTGTGTGCGTGTGTATATGTGTTCGGATACAAATTTTCATCGACGATTTCGGAAACACGGATGAAGCGATTTGAATAATTCAAAAAACATTCGATTCGAATTGATAAGAAGACATGCTGATTAGTTTTTGGCGAAGGCAGGTCTAGCCGTTCCGAAAATATGGGGCAAAAAGTGCCAAAAACGGTAACTCATTTTTAAAGAGAACGGAGCGTCCAATTTCAATTTGAAAACATTTTACTTGTATTAACAAGACGAAGAAGTGACCAAATTTTCATGAAGGCAGGTCTAGCGGCTTTAGAGATCTAGTGAAAAAAGTAAAAAAAAAATCCATCTGGCGGTCAAAAATGATCATTATACTTATGCACATCAAATTATCAGATATTTTATAGAGATTTTAACAATGAGTATAAATTTTGTTTACATTCCAATCCGTAGCAATGCTTATCCGTTTGACGGCGGCGCGGCGCTTGCGCGCTTCTATACTTCGTCTGCAGTTAAAACAGTTAAAGCAGTACGATTGCTTTGAAAAAAAAAGTTCAGAATTTCTAAAATATTTCAAAATATACATTTCTTCAAAAAGTCTTTTTTTTTCAAAAAAAAGTAAATTTTTGTAAAAAATTTATAGTTTCTCAAAAATCTAATTTTTCAGAGTAATTTTTTTTCAAAAATGTTAATCTTTTAAAAAATTTTTTTTTGGTACGGGAAGTTCCAGCAATTTGCCTTAAAGCACGATGCCATGCGCGCCACAAGTTGTTAATTTGCACTTGAACTAGGTTTTATATGATGATCTAAAAGAACAGAATTCTAGCAAACGTTGATATACAGAAATCAAAAAATACAGAATTATAACAAACTAGAAATATAAATTCTTTAATTTGAAATCATCGCGTTGATATCCTGCTTTGGAACATTTTTACTTACTTTATGATATACGCAGTCTAACGGTCATCATGAAAAACAATTTAATGTTAAAGAATTAGTTTCAGTTATTATATTCTTCATAATAATTCATGCGTGTACAAAAAATTAAATCTAGAAAAATTTCATTCTTTATTTAACAGAACAAAAAACGCTGTGAAACAATATAAGCTTTGTTAAAACAAATAAATGATAAAGTGGAATCAAACGAAAGAGCTCAAAACGTTTCAATATTTGATAGAAATTCATATGCGTATTTTTAAAAAATATAAAACTAAAAATCCTGTAATGCCAATATTGGAGATATTATTACAAAAAACTCTGTTACTTGAAATTATAATAATTCTACCCTATTACTCATTCATAAGAAAATAAAATATTCAAAACAAAACAATTAAGAAAATGTTTCGCATCCCTTTAGTTGAAGCAATAAAAGATAAGATATATAATTTCGCTCTTCTCAAGAATATGAAGCTTGATAGACTGGGAATTTATAATCAAAAACATCGGAACGTGGAAAACACCTACTAAATGTTTCAGATGATTTTAATATTTAATTAGCACGAATACGTTTTGAGATACTCGGAAATTAAAATAGATTTACGTCGATATACAAACAACATCGTCTTGAATAAAGTTGCTCCAGGATATTATATTGAGCGATATAATTTCTAAATACCTAAGCGTGAGTAAACACAGCTGTGAATACATATATATATATGTATATATATATCAATTTCATTCTATACATATTTTGTATTGTTTCATTGATGTACTTCGAAATACTTTTTTGACCTAAGTTATTCATCAAGACATCAGTTGTTTATAAAATACAAAAAAATAAATTTAAGAGCTACATCCATCGATGCAGTTATTTTCACTGATTTTTACTATTAATAGACTTTTAATAATTCTTTTATTTTAAATTGGATCTAATAATAACTTTTTTGCTATTACGATGTTCAGTTAGTTTTTATCCCTTCAACTGTGCCCCATTTCTGGTTAAGCTTCTAAATACTTAGATAAATGTCAATGAGTTATTTGTGCGAGATTAATTTGACTTAAAAATACATTAATATTTAAATAATTATAATTCGATTTTTCTAATTATGGCCTGCCAATACAAATAAAAATGATTAAATGGATATTTTTGAAGTTGAATAATAGTATACCGGTAAAAAAATAATTTTTAATTAACTCTTTGTGTCAGATGTGTAATTTGCTTCATATACATTATACTTTCACATATACTCTTTTTTAATTACCTTTTACAGAATAAAACAATTCTTATAGATTTTTCAATAAAGTAGACACGAATAGGTTTCGGATTAATCAAACACAGCATCCACGAAAGTCTAGTATTAAGAAAGCGAACTTTCATTAACTATTATTAATAGTAACTATTTATAATAGTTTCAGTTATGATAAAGAATATCGAAAAAATACCTGCTACAAATTTTATGCTCCAGGATACATAAATTTCCGAATTACACGACTTTAAAATTGTAAAAAAAAATAAAAAATTATCGAAAAAAGTTGACTATTTTTGACGATTGCGAGAAACCCAGGGAATTATTATTATTAATCATTTTAATCTGTCATTGATAAAACGAGTGCTAATATTTATATTAAAAATCATTTTTTAATAATATCTCAAATGAACAAAAGCACAACTTTTTGTAAGTAAATAATGAGTTCCTGCCTCAAGAATTGTAGTGAAAATAGCTAGATAATAAAAAGAGAGTGGATTAAAAGGACTTAACACGAAGTGGCAATGATATAATCATAAATCTCAAATAAAAAATATGTTTCCATTTTAATAAAGCTCCTGGAAAATGCAAAATGATGAGAAGCTGACTCCGTTGCATTTCTCTAGATTGAGTTGAGGATTATCTCAGCTTAAGGAATTGTTAATTAATATATCGATGTCTATATTAATGCATAATTATATAAATATATGTAAGCATATATTAATTACAAAATCATGACAGTGAATAAATTTAATAACATCACTAGTATTAATTTTACGATATTTTAAAATATTATATATCATGCATATGATTCAAATATAAATCACTGCATCATCTCACTAATTAGTTGATCATGCAAGACTGCATTAATTAGTTCACTATCAAAGCAGTTAATAATCTTCACATTAAACAAATGCAGCATATTTACATGCTGCATGTTTGTTTTTTTGCAAAATATATTTTAAAAGTTTTTAATCATTACATGCATGTTATAAAATAATCCCTTTAATCCTGAAAATAATCCCAAGCACGCTAACGGCGTGAGCAGCGAAAACATATAGTTTGCTTTTTTTCTTTTGCAGCATTTGCAAAATGTTTACAAATATCAGGATTTATGGTTTAGTTTGCAAATTTGAATAAAACAGTAATTGAACTTATCTTTTATTTAAATACCAGAATAGCAGTACTCAGTAAAAGTTTACATAAAAATAAAATGATCATATATGCAGTAAAGAGTTGCGTTTTTGATGTTTTAAATGCATAATTGTGGGGAAATAGTAATGAGCAAAAAAGGGCGCAGGTGTAACTAATTCACTGAATGTACATTGACATCTCTAAAAGTATGTGAGTTTAGTGTTTTTAGAAGCAGTCAAAAATATAAGTTTTATGAGGTGTTGTAAATATACTTATCAAAACTACATTTCTTTTTAGGAGGCAACCCCATGGTTATCCTTTCCAAAGATGGTGATAATATATGTTCAACTTAAGTTTACAGCATGCCAGAAAATGCTGATTCCACTTGGAAACATATTAAATTCGAAGTAATGAAATATATTTATGTAACTAGAGACTGGCACACTTGTCAAAAACCGTATTTTACGAAGCAGAAGTTGTATTATTCATTACATAATGAATTAAAATTAAATAAAGACGACATTAAAATGGAGTGCATATTGCCTACAAAAGTAACCACGATTGAAATTATAGATTAATTAATTTAATTTAAATTAAACGAATGGCGTAGTGTGCTGTGTTACTACGAGTTTTTGAGAAAAACTCAATTGGTTCTAATAGAACTGATTATTATATAACCCACTTACTATGAAGTTAAAAAGATTTATTTCTCATTCAATAAGAATTTCAAGCCACCACAAAATGGCATTTAGTGTATATATTTTAGTAAATATCAGTTAAAAGACTATCCAATGGTAGTACTCATGTGCATAGATAGAACACTTGCTAATAAACTTTACCCAAGCTATATTAATAAATATTAATAAAGCAGAAACTAATAAGCTAAATTAATCAGTTTGTTCCTCATTAATCTAAATTCAAAGTTTGTATTATACAGCGTCAAATTTAATTTGTTTCAGTGGTTGAATCTTGTTTCCTTGTACTTTCTTGAGAAACTTTTGATCTCTTCTGTTGCTTTAGATTAGTTAGTCATACTTTAGATTGGTCATGAAGAAATAACTGATTCCGAATACCTCAAAGGTAAAAAGTTGATATACGTAAACAATACAATCTTCTCTCAAATTGTACTTTTCTCTATTATATTATAAAGTTTTAGAGTTTTGCTATTAGTATCAAAATTTTGTTAGCTACAAATCAATCTGCGTTAATCAACCAGAGTCTACAAATAGTCTATCTCAAACAATTGAAAAGTTACATAATTTAAAAGTATTTTTTTAAAATAAAACTGGGTTAAAAAAGTGCTGTATATAATGAAAGATAAAACAACTATACTAGATACAATTGTGTCAAGAACAGAACACTTGTAGAGAAAATAGTGCCTTATGCACGACATCATAGAGGAAACAATAAGGCTGAAAGGACAAAGAAAATGTATATGATGGACACCTGATGTGAGAAAAGATATAACATTAAAGTTGAGACGTACGACAAGATAGCATAGAACGTTTGAGAAGTAATATATAATACATATGCATATATTTACTTTGTTGTGCACAATTTATTAAATATTATTAAAGTTGCAAACATATTATGACTATCATTTGTCCCACCATCAGTGTAAATGCATATATAAATAATTTCGATTAAATATGGTCACAAATTCCTTAAGCATTGTCTTGTCATTGATAGTATAACACTTATATATAAAGTGCTACCAAAAAACATTTGTTTTTCTCAACAACTAATTGAATTATAATTTAAAAAAAAATTAAAACCAATGTTTTTGGAAGAGCTAACATTCACAATTTGTAAATTATTTATTCTGAGACCTATTTGAAAATTACCTATATATTTTTGATAAAACAAAAAAAGTTTCATTATGACGAACAAAATGGTATATATGAACAAATTGACACAGTGACCTTATTTAAAAATTGGCTAGTCTTATTAACATCAGCGCGAGTGTATAACATGAAGAAAGCTATAATAAGTCAGATGTTGAGCGTCATTGTCACAGTATTGTCATAGAAATCAGTTCCAATGTGTTTCGCGCCTTAAAAAGTTTATCTTTAGGACTTTAACTCATGTTTTTTTTATACTTAGTTAAGAATATTCGACATTATTGGAATTAGAATCACTTAACTTATGTCAGTGATTTCGATCAATTTTATTGCAATTAACGCAAAGGCAAGGAAAAAAATTAAAACCTATCAAAGCTGATAGTCTTCTAACTTCTACTCAAAGTATGCAACAAATTATTGATAGAACAGACCAAAAAACCCACCGCTAATAAAAAGATACTTGCACTTGCAGAAACCTCTATTCCGTTGTTGGGTCCGGCTAAGATAGGTTACGATTAGGGTTTGTCGGTTTAATAAAAACGGTTTTAAAAACCGGCTTTTGGACAAAAATTATAAAATTCGAAAAGCGGTTCTCAGTGAAAAAAATCAGTTTTTACTGTAGAAAATGACAAATACAAACAAATGTACCAGGTGGATGCAAGTTTGCCAAACTAAATTTGACATCAACAATTATGTAGGAGTAATTATTTTAAAAGTTATTTAATCCAGATTTTATTTCTTTGTTCTACTAATTAAAATTGAAATAAATTTGTTTACTCTCCATAAAATTGAACAATAAATAAATTCAGTTAAAAACTGCTTTAAATCATACTAAATTTGTCGATAATTTATTTTGTTATTACAGAAAAATTTATTTTCTATATAAAATTCAAAAACCGGTTTTCCAAAAAAAATATTATTCGAAAAAAAAAAACGATTTTCAAAATGTCGGTTTTTGTATAAACCCTAGTTACGATGTATGAGTTGTACCCTTTGGGTTCATACTCTATGTGCTAATGTCCCAAAGAAGACAAAACGAATTATGTGTGAACTGCTTTCTTAACATCTCATTATGTCCTTACACTATATCTATTTTTTTCGTATTATATGGACAAAATAGTTTTTGTAATATGTTGCATTTTCCTTAATAAATATGTTATTACAGTTCCTACTTGAACGAAATACTATTTTACTAGGAGTCAATGAACCAAAGACAAGCAAAAACGATTGAGACTGAGAAATATCATTAAATAAATAAATATCAATAGAAAAACAAAACACCATGTCATTTTGTCCGTTTATCTAAAACCGATGTTCTGAATAATTTATTGTGGGACATTGTGAATATATTTAGTTTTTGGTAAAATAAAAAAAGAAATATATATGCTATTATAAAAGACTTAAATATAAGTGAACTACTAGCGGAGTACATGGTATCGTGCCTTGAAGCAAATTGCTGGAACTTCCCGCACCGTAATTAAAATCTTGGTACAAAACCCAAAAACATTTACACAAAATGTGTACACATTATTAAAATCTCTATAAAATACCTGATAATTTGATGTACATATGTCCAATAAACACACCGTCAAATGACATTTTTTTAACTTATTTTTATTGAGAGTCCATAACCACTGGACTAGCCTTCCCAAAAATTTAATCAGTTCTTCATCTTGTCAATACAAGTAAAATGTTTTCTGAATTATTAAAATCGGACGCTCCGTTCTCTTAAAAACTGAGTTACCGTTTTTGGCACTTTTTGCCCCGTATCGTCGGAACGGCTAGACCTGCCTTCGCCAAAAACTAATCAGCACGTGTCCTTAATACGAAACGAATGTTTTTTTAATTATTCAAATCTGTTGATCCGTGTTCCCGAAATCGTCGACGAAAAATTGTATCCGCACGCATACACACACATACACACATTTTTTCTCAAGTATGCAAAAATGTTTAGAAACCGTTGAAATGTAAATTTATATAAAAAAAATTATTTTTGATTTTTTTGCGATTAATATAACTAACCCTACGGGAAGTTAGTATTCAAAAAGTGTAAAAAACATCTGAAGCTCCTACACCATGGATCTGCTTTCAAACAGACCAGCAATACCAATAATAATATTGCAGGATGGGTAATAAAACTGATCGCACGTACCTTTATTAATACAACCGCTTTCCTATTTCTTCGATTCTATTTCTCTGAACTTGAATTTAATAATGAACGTATAGTAGCGCAACAGTTAAAAATATTTCGCGATCACGTAGGCACGTCTGATACTTAAATCGTATGTAATTGATCGGAAGCAACGGAACCGAGTTAATTATCGCTTGTTCCGCGCTCACGTCGATCAAACACAAAAGCAATGTGTTAGCAACGCGGCACAGGCGGGGGACTCATTATTATGTATTAAATTTCGATCGAACTGCGACACTACGCAGCCTTAAATAATTAAATCACTTTGATAGAAACAATATAATATCGGTTACTAATTTAAAAATAAGCAAAATCTGAAAATAATGATGAGGTTCATCGACAATGATTAAAGGATTGAGTTAAAAGAAAGAAGATTTGTGAGGCAAGGAATGGAACGCTTCACTTCGGAGCAAGAAGACAAGAAAATATCTGTTCGAAAATTATGCGACGGGGTAGCTATTGTTTTATTATCGAGGGTTTGATCACAGCAATTTTCCATTACATTTAAGACTGAAGATGATTACTAGAAAAATGTTCTATTGAAATGCTGCTTTAAGGGGCACAACTAGTGTAACCGCCTACTGATGTAACCGATTTTTGGGAATTTATATTAAAAAAACTACTTTATTGATTATTTCAAAATTTTAGGAATATATTTATACATATTTTAAGAATACATAGTAAAATTTTTGAAGAAAAAAAATAAATATTTTTTAAGTTATCGTCGATCTCCAACGGCGCGACAAAAATAGGCCCTTCACTGCTGCAGTGATTCTGGCCTTCTACGTGGATAAAATTAAAAAAAAAATTCTCGTTAAACTAGATAATATTGTCTGTAAAATGAACTATGATAAAGAAAAACAATCAAAAATTGACAAAATGACGACGTTTTTTTAAAAAAAGTCGAATTTTACCCAAATTTTGGTCGTTTTTGGCCTGCCAAAAGTCGATTTTTGATCAGATCAAAAAACTGGAGGGTCATCGTATGGAAAACTATATAGAGGAAAAACAAAAAAAAAATGATAGCGATCGGATCATTTGTTTTCGAGTAATCACTCCAGAAAATTGGAAAAATGCTGTTTCGAGAGAAACGCATTTAAAGATAAAATGATCGTTATACTATATACTCTATATTACTCTTTTAAATGGCTGTAACTCAAAAACTATTTAAAATATCGATTTAAAATTTCAATATGTTATTTTTAAATATATAATCTATCGAAATATGTAAAAATTCGAAACTAGATTTTTTGAAAATTTCACACTAGGTGTGCCCTT